GGTTTTATCCCACTCCAAATTTAAAACGTGTAACCGCTGCTTCGAAAGTGAAAAAGTTAGGAGTCAGCCTCTTGAAAACGTCGTCAATATTAGCAAACCTCCGTATTCGCGAGGGATTTCTTTCTGAATCAATTGCTATCACGACAAGTAACTCAGACAGTACAGTGACTCGACTACGAACTTGAAGCCACGTGATCGTCTCCCGAAGGGGACAGGTATTTTCTATTCATCACTACCTCCACGACTACTTTGGATTTCAGTGAACCTCACATTGAGTGGATTAAAGTGGCTGTTCTACCGGGGGTTACGCTGGGGTGGCGTGAAACAACTTACCTCCACCGAGTGTCACGTTTAATTAATTTGAGGAGCTGTACGTCCATACTCCTTCATTAAACACAGTTAACTTGACTAGAGTTCTCTTACGAGAAACTGTGGCGAGTTTAAGGATGTCTGTCGTCTGTGATGTGACTTTTAGTCTTACAGGTAACCGACGTTTCAGAGGTGCTTATCACTGCAATAAGATATGAGGGATTAAGCACCTCTGAAACGTCGGCCACCTGATAGTGCTGGACGGTACTACATCTTCAAATTGCACCAAGTCCATTTAAATAGTTATTTTTTAGTTATATTTCAAGACGCTTTATCAACGTCTTACGTTATATAGTGGTTCGTGTAGAAATAAACACAGAAAAGTCCAAGTTCATGGCCACACAACATAAATCATATTTAGGTCTCGTAATCAGACCCCGAACCAAACTCACGAGGCTAAGACAGGCACATATTTTAAAAACACGAAATATTTGTAAACAAGCTTTGGTCTGTATCGTTGCAAAGCATGAGGATATAAATTTATCTCATTTAATGATTCAGTTTTGTCTTTTTGTATTTTTAACCAGTTTCCGGAGGAATAAATGGAGTATGACGAGGCCTGTTCGACCGTGGGGCAATTAGGTTTTTTGCAAGCCTTTCCCAAGTCTCTGTCATCAGTGGAGTACGAGGCTTTCGATTCCA